AAACTCCTGAACAGCTGCATTCTACAAACTTGTTTTTATCATTACCTGAAAGTGCATCTTTGTAGAATCATCCCCATAGTTACAAAAAAGTACAAACATTGCAATTTTGCCACACACTAAGCTTATCTAACCTGCATTTTCTGTTAAGTGCAAAAAGTATATGAAGTGATACATGCACTGGTGCATACAAGATCAAAGCCTGAAAATGAGGCAACGCTATCACCACAAATCCAAGGTAGTTCAGTAGTTGCTGAGTCTTTTCTGCACAGCTGTGAAATGGCTGAAGTAGAAACTCATGAACAGCCTAGCCCAATAGTCCAGTAGCTAGGGTGGTGCTTTAGAGCAGGATCTCCATTCCCCACACACGCATGTGCCACCACACACTTGTGCCTTTGTTACCTGTTTCAGTATAAAGGCTGGGCCCAAAGGGCAGGAAGGCCACCTTAGCAGAAGAGGAAAATGCACAGTTACTATGAAGGTTGTCAGGAAAAGAGGTGTGAGGCACAGACCAACAGTTTCTACTGCCAGGTCTCCGAAGCGCACAACTCCAACACACCCCGTTTCAGTGCTGGAGTATGGACTGGTGGCTATGCAACACTGGGCGTACCTGATCACACAGTCAGCACGTTATAAAACACCTATGCAGCTAAGTCTGTTGTGTCTTCAATATAAGTGCTTTTTAAGTGTCACAACAGCTCCTCTTACCTTCTCCTGCCACAACATGAGGCTTCATTTGATAATGACACATTTATATACCAACAGACTGCTGCAGAGTAATGCGCGCACGTAAATGCTTAGTGATTCCAAACAGCTGATATTCAAAAAAGTACATTATTTGCTCTTTAAAGAAATGCAATCTGTATAATACTTGTAAGAGGGTAACTGTGAAGATTAACAAACAATAGTCTATTTAGTTTTGTTCCTTAGTTACATCTTGCAGTGGACTATGCTACAGCTGCTTCTAGTTTTTAAAATGCTACAATAGCCATTGCCATTGATTTTAGACATATACGGACCTGAATAGTATCTAGGAAGAGGAGTTCAAACTGTACACATGCAGAGGCTGTACTCTAAACACAGTTGTGCTTTCACTATATTGCCATCACGTCTTACTGGAAAGCATAGGTCCATTAGAAATATATGCTGGGAACCTCAGTGGGACCAGTAAGAAAGCAAGCTCTGCCTCCTATTCAAAACTGGTGAGGGAAAGATCCCGAGGTGAGTGCTATCAGAATGTTGTAACAGCAAAAGCTGTACAAGTAGGCACTGTGAAGGGAACTATAATAAGGCCTGCTTTTAAAGGGTGTGTGCAGATGTATGTACACACACACATATATACGCATATATAAACAAAAAGGTTTTGGCAAAATAACACTTTCATTTAAAGATCTATGCAAAGAAAACATCAGCAATTTAAACTATACAAATCAGGTGTAAAAGCCGTGGGGAGAAAGCAGCAAATTTTCTGAAGTAGCACCTGTATCTCAGGGATGAGCTTTTGAATTTCCATTCTCCTAATTCAAGACAGAGGTAATGTGTTTACCCATCAAAACAGATTTTAACCAACTGACCACCTTCGCTTATCTGCAATAGTGGGATATTTGAAATGCACCATGATTTTCAGGACTCTTTTCTTCCCCATGCTGGCAAAGTCTAGTAGGACACTAGCAAAAGGTCAGGAGCACATGTCTCAGCAGGAGAGATGCTGGCTGTGCTGTATGTGCCTGCCATGGTTTATAGGCAAGGTAAAAAGGCAGAGCAGAAGAGAGAGGATGAAGGAGTATGCTCAGGATAGCAATAAGCTTCCATCTCCTCCCTGCCTACAGATTGTGGTTCCTGGTCCTGTGTCCCTGATGTTGATTAACACCTGTCTTGACAGAACTGAGCCTCTTCCCCAACACTTTTGTTATTGCATTAATTAAAGCGTTTGGCCGTGTGACCAGTACGTTCTCACACAACATTACTGAGACTCAGTGCTGAGAATCATTTATCTGCCCACTATTAAGGTAAATTATACTGCGCTGTTTTATAAAACATAAAGGCTAAGTCAGAATGTTTCGTATTAGCTGCAAAGAGTTCTCTCTTCAAGGAAGCCTTACATACTATGGAAGAAAATACTAGACCTTCTCGGATACTATGTGTGATGAAAATGACAAAAAAAAAAGTTCTTGATATTCTTGCCTCTACAATACCTGCAACTGAAACATCGTAATAGAGTGGTTAAATAGTGAGTTTCTCCTTTTAAAAACTTTGCAGGAGCTTTCCTATCTCAACTGCCAAGGAATCTGTTTTATCTTCAAAACACGCTAAGAATCATTTTATCATGCACAGAGACTTTAAATGCCAAGTGTGTTTTTCTTAAGATACGTTTTCATTCCAGTGTGGGATCCATCTGCTCAAACAACACGTGGGAGTCCTTTCTGGGAAAAAAAAAAAAAAAAGAGAAAAGGGAAAGAAAAAAGAAATCTCAAAGCCTTCCTGTCCTCCACCAGGATCCTCTCTGGCAGTTGAGAGGAGAACACGTTCACACTTCTGTGTCGCTTTGCTACCACAGCTGAGACAGGCTCATACAGTGTTCCAGAGATGGAAAATCCTCATGGAAGGATATGCCACAGTAAGGGGCCCTCTGATTACAATACTGCGGCCCGAGAATTTCATGTTATTTCAGATAACAGATACTGAGCAACAGGGAGAGACAGCCAGGCCCTTAACAAGCCAAGAACACAAAACACTGTCAGTTGCATGCTGCAGGATGATATATATCTGGAAAAATATTACGACAGGTTTATTTACTTGCGCTGTAGAAAATGGTCAGTACCAGCAAGCTTAAAGCTTACACATGTTTTCTGTAACAAAAAGTCAAGTTTTCCCTTCCATTAATGAGTCAGCAATTGGAAAGAAGACCATGCATTCTTTCTGCTGCCCTGGCGACACAAAGCAGTTTTTCTGGCTTTCTGGACAATTACAAGCAGCAATCTATTTCAGATTTCCTCTCTAATTTATGAGCTTCATCCTGAGACGGCATACCCCGAAATACACTTTACCCTTCCTGCTTGCAGTGCTGGTACCAAGATGCCAGAGGAGATCCAGCTGATCCTTCACGCCCAGGTTCTGAAGCGGAGACAACCCCGTGTTTAATGATCAGGAGATGAGGATTTTAGCTCTGTACTAGCTACACTATCTCCTTCATAGTGTGAGTCCAGTTTGCATGTTGAATAAAAAGATAAGTTGTAGCCTACATGGTGGTGCCTGAAGAACATCTCTAAAATGAAATTAACTACTTAAACAATTAATAACATTGAAAACAGGAGTCAGTCCTCCCAATGCATTACTACCAGAACAGTAAGAACAGAAGGAACCAGGGGACAGGAAGGAGAAGCTGCAGGCAGCTGCCATTTTTGCATGGCTGTTTTGTCTCTTTATAGCTTTAGCTGTATCACTTTTGCTATAGAGGAATGCTTTGCAGCACTCACTTTCACACCCTCACCTGCACTGTGACTGGAAAGTAGAAAGCAAGGTAACGATCAGACATTGCGGAAGCTAGCACAGTGCTTGGAGTACAGACTGATCAACAAGACCTAGCAACAACTGCCTCAGCACATCATTGGCTCCAACGCAAAACACCTTTTGCATATTTCAAAGTTACACTGAAGTCCCCTGAAGCAGCTGGAGGTGTTTTTCCAGACACCCTGGCAAGAAGAACACTCCCAAAACTGCCACTTGAGTGATCAATTCATGCCATCCACAGCTGAATTCATTAATACCGTGCAATAGAGCAGGCAAGTAAGCCCATTGGCTAGCGAAGTGGGCTCTGGCCAATACAGCTTAAACAGCTCCAGGCAACAGATGCAGATGCCTACAAGTGGCAAAACCATGCAGGTCCCCTGCACCACAACTGGCTCAGAGGGCCCCTTGTGTATGAGGTTCTGAAGTGAAAGGTTCAGTCACTAGACAACCACAGTGAGATGAGACCAGCAGAGATGTGAGTGAAGACCACAACTATGGCCATAGTCAGCAGCTATATGTAGTGTATGACAGGACCAGCATGTCTGCTCTAGCACCAATCTCTAGCAGGAAGCTGTAAAAGAAGTACTGGATCCCCACATCTTCAGCAGATGGGTGAGCAGAGAGGTGATCTCCATCTCACAGGAGCTGACAGAGGAACAGCCTCTGAAGCGCGCACACTCATGCAAGTGAGAAGATAGTCACCATGTCCCTGGGCCCACACCTGATAGCACCACTCACCAAGAACTTGAGAAGGCTGACCAGGTAAGTCAGTTTTCATGACAGCTATTGCATTCCCAGTTATCTGAAGCCTACAGCGTGTTACATGCATACTACAAGCTTCAATACCTCCTAAGGATCCTCAGCAAAGCTAGGCTGTACTTCAGCTCTAACATATGAATGTGCTAATTTACTTAAGTGAACACTAAATGGTGTTACTTTTACCCTAATTAGTGATGACTCTTTTAGTCTTTGAGCTTGCTGTTAAATAACAGCCCAACTGTGACAAATTAATGAAAATGAAACAGCGCAAGTACAGAAAGAAGAGTCTGGTGTCAAAGGTAATGGTTTCAATTATAGTAAAAAATCAGTATAATGTAATACTGCCTCGGGTGTTCTTGTTCCTTTTTACATTAGCTCTTAAAATTCAAATGCCTTTTACAACAGGCTTTGGCTGAATAATATAGGAGAAACTAAGCTGCAGCTGAAAACTCGCTCTACAAGCTGTGTCCTCTTCATTCATATTGTCCAAATACTGTTGAAATAAACTCTCTGAAATATTTTGACTCAACTGTTGTGGTACATTCTCTCTTGCCAGTGCACAGGGCTCCTTTTATAGAAATCATCTCTCCTGTGTTTTGTATTTTTCTCTTTACGGTAGTACTGTTTCAGCTGTGCTATTTGGACTGATCCAAGGAGTTCTCAGCAGCTCATATCTTTGCCTTTTTTTGGTTGGGAGGCTACTGTGACAATTAAAGGAACACATTTTCATTTATGGAACAATGAACCAAAAATTATCGATGGAATGATTTTCTTTAAGAAAAAGCTGGGAGAAGGGGAAGAGTCTTTGTGAATGTAGATGCAGAAATCTCAGCATCTCGGAATCTCTGGCCTCAGTTTCTATATACATAAAAGACTGGTAAATGGCTTACAGAAAAGCAACCCAAAGTAAACATTTTAGATGAGACAAGTGGTACATAATAGTTATTTGTAACAATGAGGCACTATCTTTGAAAAATGAAATAGAACCCAGTACTATCAAAATGTAATGAAAGGCACACTCATAAGCAACCCTCTTCACCAGATGTCTGCACTCGGTTTTACTGAACCATCTTGGTATCTGCAGTAGGTGTGCTGCATCGCTTCTGAGCACAGCTCTCCACTTAGCGTCCTCCTTCGGAGCCTGACGTGCTATCAACTCTCATCTCTCTCAGGCTTCCAGTTTTTTTCTGTTTCTGCTTGGATTTTTTCAACATACGGACCTAAACCAGAAAGTTTTAAAAGAAAATGAGTATTAAAATATCTGTAGTCACCTATAAGCAGATCTAAGGCATCTAACTAATAAACAAGTAAAATGTTGGAACTGCAACAGAAAAACACTTAAGTACACAACTATCTGAAGCACCTATCCTTACAAAGCTATAGGACTAACAGCTTTTTTAAAATAAACATATACACACATGTATGTATATGTATATAGATGCATAAGGATAGGTATGTGTGTGCATATATATTCATGTACACACATACACATACCCATATATGCAGATACCACTATAGTCACTAACCTGATAGAAAGACAGAAAAATTTCTCAGTGGAAGGACAAGTTAGGTTTGTTCTCTTTCTCTTTTTCCCCCTTTCTTTCAGGAAAAGAACAAAGCTTATAATATTCCAAAACATTTGAGGTATGACCCTCTTTTTCACCCATTTTTCCTCTGCAAGGGCCATTGTTCTGGTAGCCCTCTCGGTAGGGCTACATATTCTCCGAGATTGCCTGTAGCAACAAATTTCTGTGAGTTAAAAAGGCATCTTTAAGGTAGCAGACAAATGTGTAGACTGGTGTGCACTAGAGTCAACTACTGCAAAATGTTTATTTCACAATTCCAACGCCAAGAGAGAAGTTAAATTCTTAGGTAGCTGATGCTCTTTTCCTTCTACATATACATTGAGGTATCAAGGAAAAACAGGCACCGATTACTCCAAAGTCTCTCTTTCTCAGACTCTCCTCCTCCATTATTCGGTTTTCTCCTTTGCTGCTGACAGACCTTCCCTCCTCCGGCACTGGCAGCAGACTGCTTCCTACCCTGCACTCTGCAGTACTATCGTGGCCCAGATAACTCTGATCTGCTTCAGGGCAAGCAACACTGCCTGGAGATCTCAATACAGGGGAAAAAAATAAGTCACTAGGCTGAAGCTCAGGGACTAAATTTCTTAAACACAAGTCTCGTCTAAGCCAGTGGAGAGGGTCCTCAAACCATCCTCTGTAGAAACTGCTATGTATTTATCCAACAGTCACCACACTCTGCTGACTAGCTCCTTTAAAGTTAATCATCAGACCACAACAGACAGGCAAGATAATATGATAATATCTACTGGAGAAACAAAGTCAGCTTGCTAAGATGAACCTACAGCTAGTACCTTTGGTCCTGCAGCAGAAATAATAATCTGGCCGGGGGCCTGAATCCAGGGCTCTCCATCAACTTGAACTGGAATGGGCTTTAGGAGTGTTACACGAAAATATGAGCCTTGGGCTATGCGGATTCCTGATCGAAAACCACCTTGGACTTGACCCTGTCAGGAAGTAAAAGCCAGGACATCAATCACCCCCAAAACCAAGAAGCACAAATATTAGCTGCACTTAAACTGGCTGGATAGAATTTTATTCTCACCTGACATTTTAAGTTTCAAGTAAAAGGCCTTCTTAGGCAAAATCTGCATAGGATGGCTCTATTGACACAGCATTAATTATTTAAGTTAGTGCATGAAGAAGAACTCAGATACCCCTGCAGGCTGCTGGAGGCAGAATAACTTACACTGTGAAGTCAACTGTACGCTCAGGTTGGCCAAGAAGCATGCACTCACAGAGGTCTTGTTTGCTTTTACTTCCCCCCCCTCCATAACATAGTAAACATATTTTCAGAACAGCTAACTATACACACAGACTTCGGCACATGTGAAACTTGTAAGTCTGAAAGCACTTTATCAAACAAGGAGAGAGATATCTGCCAAATTCAACTCCATATACATATATATACACACTCAACTACATATATGTATACTCAACTACAAGTAATAGCTGAGTGTAAACTATAAAAAGTGAAGCAAAGTGAACTTTGCTGCTACACATTGGTGAATGTGTACAGCCACCAAACACGGGGGTAAAAACCTTACCAGATGATCACAAAAGCAGAGCATGGGCTTGTTAACATTTATATTTCAAAGCAATGGGTATGCTCCTTGTTGCTTCTAACTTCACAAAGATTTTAAGGATCTCTATGAAATCACTTCTAATGGAATGTTTTACATTTGTCTTCCTTAAAAGATCTGAATTACAAAATGGTAAAGTTGGCAAACACCAAAGACTGAGCTGCACAAACAATTTTAAGCACCCACCTTTCCATTTTTGGTGGTTGTATGGATTAGTTGTCGCTAGTTACCTGACCACATATACTTTTTCGGCAGTAGATTTCTTAAGAGAGTGAAAGAAATATGAAAAAGAGAGAAAAATAACCCACCATCCCACAGGACTGCATTGTAATAGCAGACCATTGTAAAAATTTGTAATACATAAAAGAATTAAAGTTGCATAAACTGAGTCATAATACTCTTTGCAGAACTGGCATGCCATCTGCTTCACGTAGCATTCAGATCAAAAGCAGGAAGCATCAGATTATCAGAGAAAGGTGTTGGAAAGCCTGTGGCATATAATTATAAAGCCACCTGTGTAGAAGGAATCTCTGCCCTGATTGTGCTGAGGTATAACAAGATTTTTTGCGAATGCACTATCTAAGTGAAGAGAGGGTGTTTTTGTAACATTAAAACAAAATCTTGTTTTAATCCCATGACCTGTTTGGTTTTGATACCATAATACCTGTTATGAGAAAGCCAGTGCATTCCATAATACATACTTGTGTGTGTATATATGTATTTGCAATTCATATATATGTATACATGTATGTTTCTGGCCTTGTTTCAAAGTCTACTTAAGTCATGAACCGCTTTCTCATGCACTTTTAACATGTTCTTCACACTCCAATTACTACTACTTATCCAACCACAGGTTTCTTCAGTTTCCATTCCAACTGTGTAGTCTGGTGCCTAAATATGTATCTTCAGGGCAGGCCAATATAGAGGCACAGAGAAGGCACTGCAGTCCGTGAACAGGCGTACCAGCTGCAGCTGAACTCCCAACACCCAAACAGCTGTTCACAGACAGCTGACACTGCCCATGAATTCTGTTGATGGTCTATAACCATTTCTGCGTAACGCAACAAGTACCTGAATAAAGAATGGTATAACCTTAACATAAATGCATACTTTTTAAGACTATGCACTTACAACACCTGTTTGTTACACAAATAAGCCAATCTGAGAAAATGTATGTTTCCTCTGTTCCTGCTGGGATGCCAACTTACCATGTGAACAACGCCAGTCACGCCAACAACTTCCAGCAGGCCGTCATCGATGCGTGGTTTCTCAAAGCGGTTATCACTCTCGGACCCCCAGAGATCAGCTCCAGACCCCCAGCTGTGTAGAGAGCACACCACGGTGACCGCCTGTGGACCTGCCATCTGCCACAGAGCACCCTGCCCTGAACCCTGTTAGAGGTTGTTCGACAGGCTTCAAAAGCTAAACACTCTGCTCCCCGCCAGCTGGAGGAGACAACACAGCTTTCCCGCACTGTAAGAACAGTAAGTCTTTCCTAAAATTTGGAAGACTTCTGACCAGGAGTGAAAGAAGGAGTAAAATAAGTAGTTTCCATTTGAAAGAGAAAGAGTAGGTAAGAAGAAAGCAACTCCAAGGAGTTTTAGTTTGCTACACTAACCCTTAACTTCCAAGAGTTGAGAACTTAACATAGATCTTACTGGTCTTGACAATATTCATGGAAGCTACTGAACTAAAACTAAAACAAGTATCAAATTTTTATTCTTGTACCTGGCCAAACTCGCTTGGTATTAAGCGGGTATTCCTGCACTGCAATGCTCTGAAATGCTTCTGACAATTTAACACTGTGTTGCTTTTTGTGCAGAGTTGACCCTCCTTATTCAAATCACTCACTTATTGTTTCAGTGTGTTGACTGCTACTAATTCTGATCTTTCCCTCTCCACAGTTCTCATGTGCAACGTGTACTTGTGTGTATGTGCACGTGCACATGCATGTGTGTATAAGTATATATATTTCAGTAAAAAGTTGAAACATTTTCAGATTAAAATGGAAAGACATACAGGTAGTTTGAGATGAGTGTACTTGAAAAAAAATAGTACAGCAGCACTAATTACATGCTGGTTTTGTGCAAACAAAAAACCTGCCTCTGCCAACAGTACACCTAAGAAAGCCAGATTTCCTGCAGATTTGCCTTCCTTTCTTCCACAGCAGTAACTGTAGCTCCCTGCAGGTGTCAGGGCAGCCCCCACAACAGGTACCTGAACTGTGGGGGTTCTACAGCTGCCAGGGGAGCATCACCAACTCCACATACACTGACCAGCTGGCTGTAGGACTGGGACAGTGCTTAGCAGCTGAATCCTGCCTGGCCTTCACTGCAGGAACTGCTTAGGCACCTGGTCTCTAGCATGCCAGAAAGTGTGTGCAAGTTGATCATCTTTGATCCTTCTACAAGTCATGGTGAAATCTGATGGACCATTCAGCTGAGGGAAGGGGGAAAATGGTAGTGGACAGAAGCTACAGGCCTACAGTCATGCCTAAAAAGTCATGTTTTACTAGAATACTGCTCCAAAGAAAGTCTGAAGGCCTTTGGTGAGGGAAAAATTCCAAATTACTGTTAGGACGCAGAAGAAATAGCAAGTGTTTGGGGGTTTGCAGAGGGAAAAGAAGATAGTAGCACCTTTACGTGGAGTGAGATTGTGAGTCTCAAAGGGTCTAAAACACTATGTAAAAATGGTATTAACAGCTAGCTCCTTAGGCACAGTTGCAAAGACAGTGAGTCAGGCAATAATCAAAAATACCCCACACCAACCATCTATTAATCTAGACCATTTAACATTTTATCTAACCATCTGACATTTGATGCTCAAATACCAAGCAGCATTTCCACATGTGCAGCCAGACATGCATCCACACAGGATCCTTCCTCTCCTTTTTACCTGGGTATATTAATAAAAATGAGTCCTTCTATACTTGGTAACTCCACCTCATGCTGGTCCACTTGAAGCTTTATGTCTTTGTGAAGATTTCTGGTATGACTTATCTTCTGCAGCCCAACTTTCACGTAAACTCCTTTGTTGTGAAACCTAGGAGCAGACAAGCATCCTCTAACTGAAGGTAAAGCCCAGCATAGCACTCTTCCTTTACGTATACCAGTATTGTCCTCTAGCAGGTATGTTTAAAGAGTTTTTCAATTAAAACCCTCTCCAAATTCTTACAGCTTTACTGCAGAAACAAAGCATAAGCCATGAACTGCTACTTTACATACCTTTTACTTAAGGCATGATTTGTGCTGTCGAGGCATGTGGAGGTCTGAAATTTTATTGCAGAAAAATCATCCCTTCTTAAAGTGTTGCCTGAATACAATGCCTCTTTGAAATGTAAGCTTCTGGGCTGGAAAATTGTATTTTTAATTAAGACCTAGAGGTCTTCATGAAACATTTTAAAATGCTTTCTCATATAAAGTTATTAAGTCATATTAAGGCATAAAAACCTTTGCAAGTCTTTACTTTACATATTGCTAATTCATTTGAAATGTACTAGCTGTAGAAACTTAAAACATGCTTAGTAATGTTAACCTGTGACAGAGCCCTACCATCTCTAAATTTAGAGTAAAAAAAGATAAGGAGAATTTTATGGCATCCCTAGAAATGTCAAAATGTTTTAAGAATAACATAAACAAATGTTAGTTAAACACACAGGTTTTTTTCTTCTATAATGGAAACCTTTGGATACATGGCCTTCAGGGGCAACCTTAAAAAGCATAAATTTTCATTATTTGACCCTACTAACACATGAGTGTCACTGGAATCCAACTCTGCAAAATCTCTCTAGCATTATGTCTAAATGCTGTAGACATTCAGATGGGGAAGACAGCCAGTTCAGCATCTGGGTTATAGTCAACTCGTCAGACAAGGACTGTTCAGTTCTTTTAAATTATTACATTGGGAACAATTAGTCCTACATGCTAGCAGTTTTAAACAGCACTGAATGACAGGTACCTGATGTAACACCATTTAACATATGCTTCTACTCCAGACAAGACAGTAAGATATGTCTATGCTAAGACAGATTTTGTCTAATTTGGATACAACTGAAAAATAACAGAATAGTGGTAGGAAACACAGTACTTTAAGTTTCCCCAAGAAGTATTAATTTTTGTTGCATGAAGGAGAAAAAATCCTGCAGAAACTGAAAGAATATGACACAGTGCCCTAACTGCAGACAAAGTTCTGAATTACATGACTTCTAAGAAACACTTCCGGACCACTGAGGTCTACAGGATCCAGAGACAATGGATATAGCACCCTGTGATGCACAACTAAGGGTAAATCTGTCAGAGATTAAATTCTATCACTTCATTCTTGCATACGTATTCCACTTACGTATCTTATGAGGACACAGACCAAATAAGAATGAACAAACTGATTTCTGTAACATTACCAGGTCAACGGTCCTACCCAATGGTTTTGAAGGTGACTGAAGAATTTTATGATTAAAATGTCCAGCCAAGCTTGGAAGGGTGACCTTTGCACATCCACCACTAGAGAGAATCACCACATGTCATTGCACATCAACATGTGGGACATGGTTTGGGGAGAAAATGTCAGTGGAAGTTGTTAGTCTACTTGTAGCTGTAGCCAGTAACATACTAGCTTGCCCACTTGGTGGAAAGAATAAGCATCCCCTAAAGCAAACTCATGGATGGATACATTTTGCAGACAGTAGTTTCACCACAGTTAATTAGCAAGGCAGGAAGGAGGAAGTTGTCCTTGGACCAGTCTCCCATGCCTTATTTGTGCTGAAGGAAGTCAAGGTTTGCATTAGGTGAGACCCACGTTGCAGTCACTGCTGTAAATGACACTGACAGGGCTGAGGGAGGAAGGCAGGGCGTGACATGCAGCTCATCCATCCCCATACAGCCAGTGAGTCCTTGCATCAGCTCTGCTGCAATGCTTGCATCACTGTCATCCCAGAACTATTTGGAAGGCTCTCTAGAGTACAGACATGGAAGTGACATCCTACTGCTCAGATGAGTTTGGGGATTTCACCTGTACAGCTCAGGAACCACCCCTTGGTTTGTTTTATTTCAAAAAGATGCACTACAAGTATTGCCAACATTCACATACTACCTGATGCCCCACTGGCTACATACACCCATCCTGAGGGACATTGAGAAGGTGAAACTGATTCTTCAGTTTAGCTAACTGAATATCTCAGAATAGATAAAGTTAAAAGGTGATCCTATACAGGACCAGTTTCATGGATTATGAAATTAAACAAGTGTTTTTTAAGTCTTCCAATCCTGTATTTATCTTTGATAGAGCAGTCTGAAAAACACACTTTGCTCAAAGTCCCATGAACAAGTCTCCATAGACTATCAAGCAAAACAAAATGACCACCTTTTATCTCTAGTCCTGCAATTCAACAAGCCCACCACTGGGTGGGAAACCACCACTGCAAAAGCTAACTGCTCTAACCATTAATAAGCTATCATTTGGGTGCTTTTATTAGGGTGATCTTACTGACTGGGAAAGAACTTTACCAGGTTCACATACAAAGGACCCAAGATAGAAAACATATGAGTTATACAGTAGCCATTGTAGCATTTTAAAACCCACAACCGACAAATCAAACAACCAACACTTTCAAATCTTCCCCCCACCAAGACAGAAAACAGTTCTATATCTTTGTAAAACAATTCTCAACTTGCATTAAATCATGCAGAATATTCTCTGTGGCTAACCTTACACCCAGGACACTGCCTGCCACAGCAGTCTCCTGCCAGTTTTGGATGGCACAAACAAGATGTGGTCTCTTGTTTGTGCCATCTCTAGGCAACCCTAAAGACTGCTCCAGGATCCCATAGGAATGGGGGAATGAAGGCAGATGCCCTGATCCTTAAGTTTTACACTGTGAAAAGGACTCACAGAGCCTGGCACTCAGCAACGTAAAAAACATCACTGCCACAACATACACTAGTTCTGTCTGCCCTGCGATGCAAGTTCAGCATTAAATTCCCTGCAAATAAGTCATCATTGCACTGAGTTGCTAGCCAAAGGTAAGGAGTCCTGAGCATGTAAAGAGACACTACAGCGCTAGGCCAGAGAGCACACAGCTTTCAGGACATTTACCAGCTTAAACTCTTGATTCAGAAGAGCACTCAAGCCCATTTTTCTTCCAAGGACCACCTGCAATTTCAGTTGCCACAACCTGAAACTTCCTGTTCTGCACAGAAGAGCAGCCACTTCACATGCCAGCAGCTGTTGTGTGTGGCATGAAGTAGCCACCTTTCTTAGTTAATTTACTGAAAATTTTTTTAAAAAAAGGTAATCTTGCTGGCAAGAGCATGGACTTGCATATCCTGGGAAAGGGTAAAGCAAGCAATTTTAACAATCATCCTCAGAGGCAGTGAAAGACGACAATCATGTGCCAGCACTGTTAGCCTGCACAAGCTGTTTGTTTCCTGCAAAACCATACCTCATTATCAATTCATTATTTCATGTTTCTCTTCCAGATCTTGAATCACAGAAATACATAGCCCTTCAGATTTAAAAAAGAAAATAAAATCTTCTCTTTCCCACACAACCTTGAAGACACCCTGCTTCCATGGTGTCCAAATAAGCATGTAAAAGGTCTGCAAGAATGGAACCGAGTCATTGCTCACTGCGCTGCAGGTGCTGCGTGCTGTGAACTGAGATAAAGGTTCATGGGACAAAAAGCACACAGGCAATAAAAGTTCAAAGTATAATCCTCAAATACAGTGGCAATAAGAAAAGGACACTTTTTTTTAAAGTGCTGCAGCTTTGCAAAGTCAGCATAGCATATTTTAAAGGAGGAATTAACATTATTCTTACATTATATTAACTGCACAAGTAAATCTAGAACAGTTTTATACACTAGAACAGGCACTGCTATACGCAAATTTATTGCCCAATTTTACTACCTATGATGCTTTTAATCCAGTGGATTGAAAATGCAAACCAGTGCCTAATAGTAACTTCTGTACCACAAACAAAATCCTGCATTATTCTGTTTTTAAGAAAAAACATGAACAATGCCTGTAATGACATTACACATTACACTTCACTACAGTCATAACTGGTCAGAGAATATTTTTAATAGTTAGGATTTGAATACTGCATAGTTGTAACTGGCTGTAACTCTCTCTGGCAACCGAGACAATTTAGAGAACATTTACTCACAAACATAGGGGAAAGCAGACAAAACCAGTTTCTACAAGGAATTACTGATTAATTACACAAATGTGACTTCTTTTTCTCATTAATTTCAGTGATTATGGGAAGAAAAAGTACTATTACCAACTGATCTGCATGCTAGAAAGGAGAAAGGTCTCTCTCCACACCTTTTTAATCACACGATCTCACTGGATATGTGGAGATCTCTTTACATCCTTATTACCAGCACACAGGTGCTACCACAGCACTAAGCAAGTGTGGGAAAGATGCAAACGAGTTCTGAACAGTGTGTTTATTGCTCATGTAGCAGCACTGCCCTCCCTCCTGCTAAAGGCTTTGAGTAAGAGATATTTCCACCTCCTCAAAATTTCACTGAACTCAACACTGCAGTTATTGGCAAATACGTATACTGAATAATAATGACAAGGTTTTCAAAAACTTCTTCGGTGCTCTCTCTTGGTAAAGGGACAAAAAGAAAACCAATCAAAACCCCAATTCTGTGTCTACAAGTTCCTGGCTAACTTAATTCCTCCCTGTGCCAGCTCTGCCTCAAGCAATATTGTTTATGGATACCTGTAGCATTTCAAGATTATAGTGTAAGTTGGAAGTTATGCAATATGACAGAGTTTGCTCTTCACCCCTGTTTTCCCCAGGATTACCTGCTATTAAATTTCCCTGGTTCTTCTTCTCTAGCATGATGAAAGTCCAAGCTCAACTCTGCGTCAATGCCAAGACCACAGTAATTGTTCATCTGTACAATCTGACAAGAAAAAATTGTATTATTTCCTCATTACATTTATAAATGAGGAGGTTCCAAAGTTTTTCAAGAAAAGTAAGCTTTGCAGATGATCCTTCCAAGTCATTTGTATCTTGACAGATTTTGGAAAACATTTTCCAGAAACGCTGCACTAAAAATAAAGCTGTACAGACAATTGTTGACATGTGTAGTCATTATTTCCAAAGTATCAGAAACTTCAAAATTTAATCTAAATTGCAAGTAACAAGCATAATAAGGCAGAAATAAAAATAAATGCAGAAATAAGACCAACCCAACTTCTCAAAGCAATTGTATGCAACAACTACACAAGTTGCTGAACACTAATGCCACTTACTTTTGGCATCAGCCATGGATTTATCATGACATCATTGAGAAGACGGTCTTCCTTACTTTGGAAGGTGACTAGCTTATGCCAGATGAGTAAAGAACTTGACTTCACCTACTCGGCTGCATTTTAAACAGCTCCCTATATGCCAATCTCAAGTTTCTACAGATTTCAACCCCTTCTGCAATTAATTGTTCCTTTGCATGTCAGTTCATTCCATAGCTTTTCTATCCTACTCCTTGACCCTCCCACCCTTCACCTCTGAAAACCAGATTAGGCACTCAGGGCAAATCAACTCCTATCTCCACCAAGTGAAAAATAGATGGAACCTGAGCAACTTAAATCCTCCAACTGACACATAATGCCTAGCATTTTCCAGTGATTGGACTACAATCTTAGACAATTGCTACCATTATTACAATTTCCTACTTTCTTTTTGCTATCCCCTTGTCCAATTTCTTTGTTTTGTCTGAAGATAAACAGAACCAGGATTCACACAAAGCTCTGAAGTCACCATCTACAACCAACATTTTTATTTTCCTAAACAGAAACAAGTAATACAAACCAAGGACAGGGACTTCCACTCAAAAAAAATAAAACAGATGCCACATATACAGTCATGCAATGGCAGTAAGATGACAGAAAGATTAACTTCCTGTATATGCTAGCAACTCATAGTAATTTTTTAAACTGTTAAAGGAAAGATGAGAGTACTTTTTTGGGGGGGGGGGGAGGGGGGTGGGGATTTCGGTGGATGCAGGTTTGTCCTTGCAAGAGTTGGGGTTTGGTTGACATTCCAGTTTCACTAGTGTTCTGGAAAGTGTTTGCTGTTCCTTCAAAAAGCTCTTCTTATTTGAGAAATAAATTTATTTCTAATTGAAGCAAAAAGGTATGCCATTGTCACTTGAATCTTTTCATTCATCCTCCATCAGATACTTTTTGCCAAACAGCTACGAAGTGTGTTCTGCAGCCAAGCAGTCCTACCAAAACTAAAGCACTAGATCCAGAGTAAAGAATAGCTCAGTAAGGCCCAGCTCAAGGACAGGTGAGCAACAAAAGATTAAGCTACATTAGTATCTATCTTCTTTGTGATTTTTGCTAGAAATCACATCTTTGTGGTCTTCCTAAGAAGCAAACCCAAATGGCACTCAGCTCACCTTTGGAGGCTCAGGTTCTGCCACGCCATTCATTGCACCTTCAGCTGGCTCGTCTGCATCCAAAAGGATAGTCCAGCGATCCATAAGAACATCGTCTGCTTCATCCACGGAAACCAAAATCGAGTAGGGGTCCTCCCCACTGTAGCCAGCTCCCCAACGCAAGACCCTCCCTAAGTCATTACCTGGGCAACAATAAAGAACCCCAAAATATGACTTCATTTCAAAAAGTTAGCGAAAAGCATCAAGAAGTGCATCAGCCCTGTTTTACAAATCAAATCGCACTAAAGTGCTCCAGACAAGTCACGGAAGTAGTTAGATGGGACTGAAAAGTTAACAAGCAAAAAAAATATCGAAGCATTTTGTGGTTGCATTTGTGCTTAGTATCACATAGATCTATGCTGTCTTATCTGAAGACTCTTCACAAAAAGTGATGGAAAACCTGTTTTCACCTGAGTTGAAAAGTCAGGGAGCAGCTTAGTTCACTGGTTTACAGCAATGGCTGATGCACCTGTGGTTGTCAGGGGGAGAATATTTTGCCCTCTCCAACTCCTGCCCACTAACACACACCCAAACCAACACTCCTGCTGCTCATTTTTCTTTCAGAAAGCATGACTGACATTTTCTTGAAAAGTTGATAGTCCATTTGCTCTCCAACACTGGCCAGAACTGAGTCATGGCATCTCTACTGCAACACTCCATTATTTGTCAGATAGATAAAGATAAACTTTCTGGAGGACTTCTGCCCTCAGAAGAACAGTGGTAACTGTGATTCTCACCTGTTCCTAAAGGTAAGATGGCAACCGAGGGCTCTGCGCACACCAGCTTGTGCCTGATCTCCTCCAGCGCACCAAGGACCCAGCCGACGGTCCCATCCCCTCCACACACCAGCACTCGGAAGGAGGGGACTTTAGAGAACATGTGAAGCCTGCATTGGGAAACAAGGCAAAGGGGAAAAGAAATGTTACAATGTAGTACAGGAAAAGCAAAGCCTCTTAATATGCTATGTAAGATAACACATTATTATTGGATTCCCTCCTGCTTTACCATCAGTTTCAGTATCAACGTCAACAAAGTTAATGGAAAAATAAGAACTTTTTAAAGTTGTTTAAAGAGTGAAAACCACATTCTTCTACGATTCTTCACAGCTAGAGTTAAATTGTTAATAACTTTCTTTTTTCACCAAAGACAGAGACATCTAACTATTTGTATGCATATTCACATATTCAATGTGAACATCTATAACTCCAAATCCTAGTGCAGATGTTGATTAGTGGTGTGTTTTTTTTTTTTTTTTTTTACTTAGTCATAGGACTCACAGTACATTTTCTTCTTCACAGTACTGTCTCCCAGGTCACTCTTACCCTTTGTGGCTTTTCATCCTACATACCAAGATGTCCTACAAAGGAATTTTTATTTCCCATTGCACAAGGAGCAATGAACTAGTGGAAGCATTTTGGCATAAAGCTACAGATGGATTCCATGGGCAAAACAAAATGAACAAATTACTGAAGTTGCAGCATTAGAAAGACAACAGAATTATACAGTTCTGACAAAAAGCTTAGTTTGTGCAGCTTGTTTTCCTTGCTTCCTGCATAAGCTGTGTTTCTCCCACAAAAGTTTTGGTTCTGAAGAGCTTATCATGACAGTTCTTTGTTAAAGCAGTGCTGAAGGCATGAGGCTACTTTGAGTAGGCTACAACCATCACTTTCGTTTTATGAAGATGGTAACAAAGTGGTGTTGATTAAATCAAGTAATCGGTTCCTGCCTCCCTACAAGCACATTATGTTCTGTTCCTTGTATTTAGAAATGTTGCAGCTGTGATCAGGCAGGCCCTGTTAATTCTGCAATTGTGGCCAAGTTTCAAGAGTCAAGATAGAAAATTTTATTGTATTTTCCTCTTAGTTCCCATGAAACATCAGAGGAAATAAAAGCAAAAACGAGCCCTCATCGGGCAACGTGACATTTCTCTTTCCATCCCCATCCGATTATAAAATCTTTTTATTTTTAGTAATTATGTGTTATTGTAAAGTGCATATGACTTTCCCAGGACTGGACTCTATTAGACTTGACACAAGCACATACATCAGGAACTACTCTGTTCTCTTTTCTTTAGAGAACTTCAAAGTTTTCACAGTGAGAACAAGTCAGGAGGAGTGATCCACTGCTCTGGTCTTCAGGCACAGAACAGAAGCAATATAGATCTTCATAACAAATTACTCAGATCCATTTTTTCAAAAATTAACAAAACAGCATAAAAAAATTTAAAAAATATGATGATTTACCCAGGCAGTGGGCCACCATTGGTAAGCTCAAAGACCTGATGTGGGTTTAGCAGCTTTCTAAAACTGTACAGCAGATCCCGACCTTTTAGACCACCACTTTTTGGATTCACAAATACAAGAAGTGGGCAGCAGTTCTGTGGCATCTTGGAAGCCTGAAAGAAGACAAGAGAAAGGATTACCAAACCCATGACTAGGCAAGGAAAATTACTACTACATCTCCGAAGTATTTCCTGATGCTTCCGTGATGCTTAGTAAAAAAAATCTAGATTCGATAAATAAAGATTCAATGTCCAGATGATGGACAGCTTAGCTGCTGATCTTGTTTTTCTGGTAACTGAAGTTTCTTTAACCCACTCCAGCTACACAGTTGAGCCTCATGTTAAAAGCAAAGGCACTGTAAGTGTCCTTCCTATGCATTCTCAGTAAAGAGTCTAAGCCAAAGACTAGTGTGAGGGATAAGGTACCTTCCAAAGTCAGGTACAATTCAGTTTCCCTGCAAAGAGAGAACTCCCCAAAACAATTGAAACATTTGTCTTAAGTTTTGTGGTAGTCTTAGAATACATGTTAATTTACAAGGATAAAACATTTCAAAATGAGGGGCATGCCCCTCCCCATGAAAAGCTGAAAGCTTCTTTTAAAAATATCTATTTACATTTTTTTATCAGGAGGATTTGGTGCCAGTATCTTATGCTTCTCAAACCTCTGCTGAAGTTGCTGCTGAAAGGACTCTCAAAGCACGGCCGTGCTGGGGGGGAGCCTGGTACCTGTCCAGAAACCACTCCAAAGGAAGCCACTGCACAGGGCAGAAGAGGGATTTTCTGGGGTACTCCACGGACCATGCAGGAACAGTACCTGCAGCCTCACTGGAGGTCAAAACTTCCAACCACCAGAAACACACCCCCCCCCACCCCCAGGATTGGTTGTCAGCCCATAAATCATTCTGTAAAATGACTTGTAAATGGTTCAGAAAGATGAGAAAATGCCAGCACACCTTTCATCCATCCTGCCACAGTGCTGTGGGCAGGTAAGTGCCAGAAAAGTCCTTTGGGCATTTCAATGAGCACACTTCAGAACAGAAATGTTTGCCACAGTCCCTAAGTCGTGGTAATTTGTATTTACAAATTGGACAGCATTCAGGGAACAGCAATTTGTCACGCAGCTGACAGGATGGATTCAGGGAACAGAACAACACTGCTAAATATAAGTCAATTTAGACAAGAATGATTCAGGAGGCTGTAAGGCAGCAGTATGACCGCAGTGTGCAAACATGCAGAGAGATACCAACAGCTACAGAGGGGAGGAGAGAGCACCCAGAGAGCACCCAGAGAGCCTCTTGTCTGCTGTCTATGAGCAACCACCAGAAAGTTAAAACTAAGGTGAAGAATGGAGAAATCAGGACAAATTAATGAGTAACTTTGTGGGGAAGCAAACTGGAGTCTGATGTTGAGATACCCCAGACCACCACCTATCTGTGAGCTGACTTGGATGCTTAAAAACAAACGATCATTTGGGTCTTCCCAGTATTTGAGAGATTTCATCAAATTTTGCTTTCCTAAAACAGCTGAGTGCTAATCCTCTGTAAGTCACACACTGGCAGATGTGTCAAGATACCCACATCTGTGTCACTGCCTGGATGACAAATGCCCTCTGCCATCCAGCATGGTTCACAGGGACAAACAGAAAACACATTGGGAAGAGGAACTCTAAGCAGGGAAGAAGGTTGGTGGAGCAGGCACACACTTCTCTTGTCCGTTCCTCCACTCGTCCTTTAGATTCTACCAGAAACATTCAGTCTGAAAATGTGTATGTTTTCACACACATACACCCCCCCCCAAAAAAAAAAAAAAAAGAAAATAGAGCCAAACAAGGGCTATTTTGGCTGTCAAACAGCCAGAAGAACCTCAAAATTTTGTTGTACTGCTAAGGTTTCAGTGCTGGCAAAACAACTAGATTGGTGAGACAGAGGCTGCAAAGCTGTCCACGTAGCTTCTTCCAGAGGAACCACCTTCACACTATACTGTGACAGCTGCTAGGTCAAAACACCTCTCACCTCTATATTCAGGCTTTATTGGAAAAGAGGAATCAACTACTCAAAGAGTGTCCAACCCACAACAAGGGTAATATATTTATTTCTGTTAAGCACATAGAAAGGATATTTGTAGCCAGCAAAGGAAGTCTAAGGAAAACACTGCATGCCACTGTCACAGAAAGGAAGGACTTCTTGAGTTGTAGGCTCAACAGCTCAAGGATCCACACATCCCAATGACAGAAGTGGATTTCCTCCCTTCGAGCCATCACAGGCATTAATAAAAATAGTAAGCAGAGTTCTGGCTTTTCCCAAAGTAAAGCCCTTCTCATTACTCCATCAGTTCCTGCACCACCATCTGCCACATCCCGTTATGAATAGTCCTCTGAAAACCCCACAAGCAATTAAAGGCAGAGCAGGTCTGAAGGGAAACGCCATGTCCCATGGGATAACAGGTCAAACTGTTCCTGTCCTGCACTCCTTGTTCCAGCTTCTACTCTGCCCTACCTTCCCACCTGACCACTCCCCATTTCTTCCTCTTCAAAGCTTTTTTACTACCCAAATGTCATCTCCAGTCATTTCACCTGTATGAAAAATACAGGCTATCTGAAACCTCAGCCTTGGTCCAATGCCCGGAAACTTACGGGGTTTAAAAAAAGAGGAGTAATGGGATAATAGAAAGAAAAAATATTCATTTCTTCAGCTCAAAGTAAACAAAAACTTTTTCAATAAAGAATGAGAGAGAAGAAACCAGCCCAACACTCAAAGTCAAACAAATACCTTACTTGAATGTGGACAAGAACAGTTGATTACCTTTTCTTCAGGAAATCAGTTTCTAAAAATACTGGTTTTGGACATTTAGAAATGACATGTTGAACACATGTTTTATATTACTTGCTTTTACAGGCAAGTTCTAACACACTGGGTTTAAAATCAAGTAACTAAAATAATTCAAAAGGAACTTCAGGGAATCACAGTGATTTTTCAGACGTGGTAAGCTCCCAGGCATTCAAAAGCACAGCTGTGTTTTGGAAAGTTGTCTGAGATCTAACCCAAGTAAATATATATTGTTGCAAATATATATTTACAGTTTGAACAAAACTGCTATCTAAATTTCCTAATTGTCCAGTGTCAATATTATTAAAAAAAAAAAAAAAGTGAAACATTTACCTTGAATGCTACTAAGATTCACAAGCAGCTGGGGAGAATGCCTGGAGTTAGCAACGTTATCTGTATGTAGTGTAAACTGAGGAGTCCTACCACTCAAACCCATCTTTATTCAAGTATCTTCTAATGTAAGTCTCTAACCGTACCTATTTAAGACTAAACACACCTATGTAAAATAAACAGAAGTATTCTAGAAAGTGCTTAGCCTTACAGATAACTTGCTTCCCATCATCACTTTTCATTAAACTTAGAGGTGTAAGGAACATTGCTAAATCCCTAGATAAAGGCCAGCTTCTAAGAAAACAATTCTTTTTCTGTACAGGTTAAAAACTATGACAGTTTGTACAGCAGAGCAGGGCTGCTGCATTGCTTTCTGAGGACTACACGTTCCATTACGATTAGGGCCACACAGGTAGCACTCTTATGCTGCAGAATTTTTTTTTTCATCCGTTTATAAAGCCCCAGTGGGGACATACGAATGAGTTTGTTACTGGGCAGAAGGGGATGTGTGACTCACAGCCTCAGGACTCCCTTCCCCCTTTAGCCCTGGCTTCAGCGGTCTGCTTGAGAAGTGAAAACTGCAGAGGGGTTTTGTGTTGGCTGGCGTTCAGGAAGGAATTTATTGCTTGTTTCTTAGAGACAGCTGAAGGAGGCCATGTGATTTAGACACTGACAGTCACTGTGAATCGCTTCATTTGTCAGGATTAGCACAATGCAGCTTCAGGCTGGGGCAAGATATTTATTACCCATGCTAATCCCCTTTCTGTTGAGTGTACTGTGCATCATCTCATGATTAAGCAGAACAAGGCGTTCTATGCCACAGTCCTGCCAGCACGACAACCACGGCGCATCTTCCAGGGTGGTGGGCTGTCTCCAGGAACTGTAGATGTCTCTAAGTGACAAGTAAAATTCAACATTTGCAGGCACGCTGTCTGCAGCATCTCCCATGTGCAAGGACTCAGAACACCGCAAGTGCATACTTCCTCCACCCTGGACAGAAAGGAGTCATTGCATCTGGTAAGAAAGCATGCGCAAGGTGTCTCAACACAACCAGAGCAGCAGCTAGGTCAACACAGCAGGAGATCATGCCTTTTCTTTACTTTTTGGGGAACTGCAGCAGTAGAAGAAGGGTGGAAAGTAACCTTTCATGGTGTTTTGGCTAAGAGGGACATTAAACTATCATGCTTTTAAGTTGGACACATGTGTGGAATTAGTGGAATGAATGAAATAGAACGTTTCACCCATTTGGGAAACTCCCCCATCTTTTTCTACTACTCTTAAGGAACCTAAGTACAGCATGTCAGAGGGCACTCCATTCGTAAGTGGCAATAGCGATAAAGCCACAAAAACTTGTCATCTTGGTGCCAATACTGGCCTCACACAGCACTCTGCTGATTTCCTTGTTGGCCAGTACCGCAAAAGGAGTTCTGGTAAATTAGCCTGCAATTCAAAGATTCAGCCCTGCAATGTCTTTCACCTTGACATGCTACCAAAGAGTGACACCAAACTGCCCCTGCAGGTCCTTACACACAGCAGCTAAGCAGCTTTGGAAGAGACTATATTTTTTTCACACTCCAACAAAGGGAGTATTTTCATTTATTTGAGTATTGTGAAATGAAAATGCGTGTGATTAAATTCTTAAGGGCCCAAGATAATGAAACAGCAGAACAGATCAACACATCTGATCACTCTAATGGCTTGGCTTTCTAATAAGCAGTTAGTGCAAACTAATTCTGCATTCAAACTTTTCAGTAATGACAGCAAGAAGATGAATTGCTTCTGGCAGACCTGACCATGCCAGACTAGAACTGGGCCTCCTCCTTAGAAGGTGTATCGGGCACAGAGTAAGTAAATCTTACCTCGGGAAAACGAAGGACTAGCAACCTGCTAATCACCATTTTACTTCTGTGCTTTTATTGACTTTTAGGAAGGGTTGTCTTGGTTTGTTTGTTCTTAAATTTAAGTTGTAATTTGGAAAAATAATTCATTAACCAAAACACGGTGGTGTTTGTTTTATCACCCATTCTTCTTCTGAGACTAAGCATTAGCCCTTCATTTCCCAATTTCTTTGTATTTCACCCACAAGAAATGTCAAACAGCATAAATTCAATATTGTGCTCAGTTCCTGTGTAAGTATTTACTGGTGCTATATTTAAATGGTCACATGTATAAACAAAGGCTACTAGTATCATAGGATAAAAGGATAAGCTAGGTTAGCAAGTACCTCAGGAGGTCATCTAGTCCAATCACTACCCAAAGCAGAGTCCACAGCCACTCATTAGTTTACCCTGGATAATTAGTGAACAGCGTAAGCTGGGTGGCCAAAGCACATATGAACAACACTTGGTATATTATTTCGATTAACTTTTGGCTTATTTCAGTGGGATGACCAAATATAAACAATACACGCTGAAATGGAAACAAAAATGTATGTGCACATGTACAGCCCCTCTCTCCTTCTTACACATTAGAAATCCATCCCTAGCAGTCCTCCGAACTGTAGTTTCAAAAAAATGTATTGCATCAGGTAACAGATAGCATTATCCATATTTTCCTGACATCAAGAAATTCCCTTCAAAGGTATCTACTGTCAGAAAACCAAACACACATGTAATGGAGTGGAGTATGTTCAACTTCACACACTGTGCACCAAATCTAAGCTGATAATGCATTTGCCTAAAAGTCACCGAAAACATGCATCCAAAAGCAGTCCCATCTTCATGCTGCTTTCTGCTTCTGATAACAGAAACTCTGAAACATAGTTAGGACAAGGGGGAACTTTGGTTTCTAAGGATCTCACAAAACATAATACCTATGCATGCATAAGAACAAGGCTCTCACTTTTTTTGGAGAGAGGATAGTTTTTCATCTGGCCAGTTTCATGTGAGCACTGCCACTAGTATCTGCTCTTACAAAAAAAATAATTTTACCTTCAGAAAACTTTGATTAGCATAAGGCTCTTTAAATGGTCAAAGCAGGCATGTAAGTATGCAACTACGGGTATTGAACTTGAGACTCTCCCATCTAAAGTTGTTTCATAATTTCCACTAATTATGTATTTTTTTAAGTTCTCAACAGTGAAGTTCTAAGAAGTCAAACCAAGACTCTAACTTCACTTGCCACAATGCAACTCCAGAAAGACAGTAACTGCTAGATACACAACAGCTCAGCAGAAAGTAACTATGGCTACACTCTCTTTTGGACAGAACCTACACCACCCTGGTTAAAAACCACTTTGCTCAGTGAAACATTTCCCTCTTTTCACCATGAATTTGCTTTAACATGAAACCTATTATTAAACCAACTAATTCACAGGAACATTATTTGTAACCATAAAAAATTAATAAATCAGAATCAAGTAAATTTGTGAAAGGACTCTTGCACTACATCTTTCAAAAGACTGTTTCCCTCTGAAATCCATGATGCAGCATTTAAACAAGGTCAAACTCCCTCTGATACAGAATGGCAGAAATGAAGATATTATAAATGTGAAAATTAGCATTAGTACTTTCTTTACCTCATGGTTAGTAAGGAAACACATTTAGTCCCCAAAACAAAGTTGTTGTAAGCATTTTAAGACTGCCAGTTAAAACTAAAAGCCTACCTAACTTTTCAACCATTGAAAGAAATAAAGAGGAAAAAAATGTTTTTTTCTCTCCTTTATAGTTGTATAGTTATTCCTGACAACTCAACAGTAACAGGACAAGTGACTTAACACACAGAAGTATACCATATACGTGAAGTACAGGCTTTCAAGTATTTTTTTTTCATCACACTACTACAGAAACTTACTGTATGGCTCCTTTGAATAAAATGTATTTTCATTTACTTCCGGCAGAAAAGCCTTAAGGTAGTTGTTTTTCTTTTAAGACGTATTTTAAATTCAAACCCATCTCTTACCATAACTTCAGGAATCACCACAGCATTCAGAGGCTTGTCATTGACAGTTGTATCTTTAACTAGCATATATATTCTTTCAGCTTCAGAAAAGCATGAAATTTCGAGAACAACAGCACCTGTAAAGAGGCATCAGAACTATTTTTTGTATTTTCTGTCATTATTAGGAAACCTGTATCATCATATCACAGCAAACGTTTACTTGGTTTACTCAGGACATTAGTCAGTAAGAGTTACTCTGCAACACTTGTGGTTGTTGGTTATCAGTGAATTGGGCTGTTTTTTGTTTTGTAAGCCTGCCTTCATAGCTCCAAACACCAGATACCCATATCCCAGATTTTTGTTAAAGCAAAGCAGTTTGAGGACAAGAACTGCAGCACAGAACTGATGCATATTTAAAGACTTCCTTTGGGCTTCAGAGGCATGGCCTATTTCCATACTCTTTATCATAACTAACAGGCTGTTCTCACCATGGGAAAGTGACAAAGCTATAAGGTTTCATTTTTCAATTAATTTTCATCTCATTATTAAAAAATCTAGTAGTTCCATTCATTGACAATTGCTCAGTAAGAATTACTACAAGCAAAGATTTGGTTTGAGAATCAATTAAGATCTTTATATCGGCTTAGGTCTGTATGGGGAAGTTGAGAAAGAAGGAAAGACAAAAGGGAAAAATAAAATACTGACAAATTAGTTTAAAGTAAGATACTTAGTGAGGAGGAAAAAAGGGCAGGAAAAGATCAAAAGTGCATAACGGACAGCATATGAGATGTAAGCTGGTAACATAACCTGGCTGCAATCAAAAGTGAGTCGTGAAGTTACCAGAAACCTAAAAATACCCAGGAAGTGAAAAAACACAAAGAACAGTAAAACTCACATACAAGCAGAAACATCTAAAAAACACATGCAGGTAAACTTGGTTAAATGAAGCTGTGACATGATAAGATTATAATGAAAACAACTATTGTGCAATGACAAATATGAAAAGGAGAAGGCACATCTGAAAGCTTTATGGTTTTCCTTATGAGAAGTCAGTATTAACTAGCCATGTGCAGACAGCAAATGCACAAAGGAAGCACACATCAGTCCCCAAAACCACGCTTTAGAAAGATTCATTTAGCAGTCATGTGAAAGTTACGCCTGCCAAAGGATGTGAAATACCTCGGATACAGACACCTAAACGTACAAAAGATAAATGCCACCCTTAAGTTTTATCAACCGCAGATCTCCACCTGACCACTGCACTAAAGCTGCACAGAGCCACTGCTGCTCTGGCTCTCAGAAGCCTCAAGGCTTCTCCAACCTTGCTGAAATAAAACTCGTACAGCGAAAACAAAGCAACAGTTCCAAGGATGAAGGCAGAGATGAGTGTACTGATTTTCTTCAGACTTGCAGCCACTGAATCCCCACTTAACACTGTGCTAGGAAACAGTGACTGTGAAACAATCCTATCAAGTTCAAAAGTAGTACCAAATTTTAGCATTTTGGAAGTCAAAACAAAGAGACAGCACTTGAAGGGTTTTTAACAGCTCAGTGGCGTTAAGACTATTCAACTGAAGTGCAACTTCAAAACTAATTTTTACAATGAAATATTACCACTTCCTGGTACATGAGGCATGAAGCCAACTTTTTTTTCTTTTTAATAAGGTAACACTAATCCACTGCTCTTCATAAATACGTGTTACATTTCATCTGAAGGGCTTCTTGCTTATGCAATAAGACTAACATACTCTGAGCTTAGAGACTCTAGTATTAGGCTGCAGTTTTGAAAATAGACATTGTCTGCAAGACTAAAAATCTTAATGCTTACCTTGTGCTTGATAAACATGACTCACAGATACTACATTTGCTGCAAAGGATAAAAATATAAACACATAAAACCTTGGGTACATTTAGAGTAAATATTTAAAATATTTTTTAAAGTTACATAA